AACAAAGAAAATATACATCAATACTGATATTAATTCCAAACATTCCATTATTCCTATTCATTGTATGAATGATATCTAGAATGCTTCTAATGTCATAGGAGAATAGTAAAAAAACAAGATTTTCTTTGCTTACAATCATGGTTATCATTTGATGAATGAATTCAATAGTAATGGCACTATAAGTAAAATATCTAAATAGAGAAGCATGGATTGACATTGAGTTTACAGTACATCTCGCAAGTTTATTTTATTTTGTTTACAAACAATGAGAAGTTTTCAGAGAATCGATTTCGATTGGTTTCGTTGTTCATCAAATCGAAGAATGAGCATATTGGAACGAACTTAATCAGACTTTTCTCTGTGAATCAACACTGTCTATTTCATAAAGTCAATTTTTTTTGTAATTCACGTATTGCGTAGCTAGTAAAAAGTCAATTGCAGTTTTTCATATAGTTATGCGTGTAAGCTGATTAGCTGAGCCACTATCGCGATACAAAAATAGATATTTGATTTTTTTAAATTTCCAAAGTTCGAAATCAGTTATTGAAAACATTACCACTTTGCTTGTTGTTGGTGATTGATCTACCATTGTTTTTTCGCTTTTTTATTTGAAAGTTTTTCGAAATTAATACGAGTTTATAAGAATTCATACAAAAATTCCAGTCACTGCCACCATCACCGATTAATGCATCGACTTTTATCTGTACATATAGTAGAAGAATACGATGTTTTGTTCAAGTATGTTATATAAATCGACATTTACATCGATTCTTTTACAAATAGACTTCAAAGAATTCAGCGTGAAAAAACATTCACTTGGTGCAAAATTCATTCAAACGGATGCATATTCAATATTTATTCGATTGTCTTAAATGTCAAAAAAGGAATCCAAACAGTGATTCAAATAGGACAAAACTATTTAGACTAAAGTAGAAATAGCAATGATTACTCGTTTTCTGCAGACGAGATTTCCAAAAAAATCAGGATCTATTTTTGATAATATTCTTATACTACTTTTCGCTCATGGTACCTGTTCATATTATATCTGTGTCTCTGCTGTTCGCATATACATAAGTAGATGTTCTGAGTGTAAGCAATACGATTGATAATAAGAAGAAAACTAACAAAGTGTTTTTCCATCCGCATTCGACCTTTTTATTCAAAACGATGGAGTAAACTATCTCCTACGAAATGAGATGCCGCCAAATTTCTCGCGACATTTTTTCAGCAGACTTATGCCAATCAGATAGAAGCTACTAATGACTTTTCCATGGAAATAGAGCGAGACAATATTTGTAGAATGTTTCGTCAGATTATTGTATGAAGGCGGCAATGGGACGACATCAATCAGTTCCAGGATCGATAAAAGCGTGATGCTTATTCATGTCTCACAAATCTCACTTTACACGCATGTGATTTGATCGTACATAGGACAATATAAAGACGAAGGCGACATATGAAAATATGAATACGTATTCTATGAATTGAATACCTAGAGGATCTCGTCGAAAAACAGTAACTCATTATGGACATTCACCTTTTGAATTTATTGATATATTACGAAAAAACTAAAACAATATCCATTCTGAAAGAGTGAAATTTTCAATAGGCGAAAACGTCAGAATCAACGAGAACTATATGAATTATGATAAATTTCGAAGCAATTACTACTCGATTTTGTGTAGCGCTTCCTGTAAAAAGAGAAGAGTTTGCTAAATGTTCGTATTTATCCTCATGTCTAATGTTGGTTGTTCTTGAATATATCGTTAGTGATTTTATGTCGTAGAAAACTGTGGGTTGTCTCATTTTATAAATAAGTGTCACATCGCTTTTAAGCTGTGACTATGTTCAATCGATATGGTCTAGTGAGTAAGTAAATACCCTGGAGTGGTTCGTACTGCTGGGCCTTTGTTGCTGAGCTTATTACTTTTTAGTAAATTTTGTCTGGAAACTATGTCCATACAAAGACCTCCATCAGAATAATTTCCAGAGAACAATTTCAAAACTCTTTGATAATGCTTCTTTGAGATATTGCATTTTCAAAAGATATCAATACATTTCTATCGGTACTGTAAAATAATTAATATTGTAAAAAATTAATATCACGAAGGGACATTGCCAAAAACTGCTAAGATTTTTTTTTGCAAGCTATACTAAAGGAGGTCTTTATATGGGCATAGTTTCAAGACTAAACTCACTAAAAATTAGATAAGTTCAGAAACAAAGGCCTAGCAATACGAACCACTCTAGGGTATTTACCTACTCAATAGACCCAATCAATTGAACGTAGTAACAGCTGGAAAGCAATGTGATACTTGGGGACGTTCTCTCGTTAGTTTCCACAAAACAATATTTATGTATTCTAATTGTGGAAATATAAGAGTTTTCGTTTTCTGAAGATTCCATCTGGGATAAGCTAGTAATAATTTTAATTGTCTTCTATTTTCTTTATAAATGCATTCAATTCTCTCTACCCGAATTATTATTTTAATTCTTTTTCGCATTTGAGAGAAGGAGAAAAATTTTAAAATGAACCTTGTTGAATAATCTGTGATAGTCATTGTAGGTTTTTTTTCGATTTTAAAACAAACAATTTACAATTCCTTGTTAGTTAGGACAAATCCTGAATAGTTTGCAATTTCTAATGGACAACCATCTCTAGTTGGTCCGCCGGTTCCCCACCATTGGGGAAATTCAATACCATTACCTTGTAATGTTATAAATATAACAAATCCACATATTGCTACACCACAACTCATTGCAGCTGAAAATACATATGCATATTTTTCCCACCATTCATGTGCATGACGATATAAAATAAAATTAAAAATAAAACCCATTAAAAACCATGTTGTAAATTCAACGGCTGGTGCTGGTGGAATATTAATTGTTGCCGCCAAAATAATCGGAAAATTAATTAATGCTAACCATTTTATATTTGGAAATTTTTTCCATAAAACCCAACTTATAATAGGTAAAACTACACCCACAGGTAATCCGAAAAGTAATAGAGCATACATTGAACCTACACCAAATGTTTTTGCACCACCTGAAAAAGATATTCGAATTAAAGCTTAATAAAAAGATAGTGTTAGTTTTTTTACCGACTGCACCCCACATAATCGATGATGTATAGAGAATTTCTACAGAGAGACATTTCCATATTAGATTTTTTTGTGTACAAATATTTGATATATGAGTAAGAAGATGTATTGCTGTTATATAATGTACTATACCAGCAAGTAATGGACACACCAATAACATAGAAAATGTAATACGAGGTGGAATCTACATTTCATTTGAAATAAAAATTTTCAAACAAGATTATTTTTACCTTCATATAATGAGCAAATTTAAAAGTAATTAAAAAATTTATAATTAGATTTTGACATGAAAATGTATAGGCTCGAAGTGTTAAGAAACCAATAGGATTACCAGGTAAGATAAAACTACTAAGAATATCAATAGGAACACCTAGAACTTTAAAACACAAAACATAAGAATGAAGATTTAAAATATTTATCATTTTTGAAGAAAACTCACTCAATGTCATATTGGTTACTGCTACAATAACACCTGTTGGTATCATCATAATAATGTTTATAACAATTGCAACTGAAAAGTTTAAATTAAATTAAGTTATAATAGAATTACTATAATAATAATTAACATACTAATCATAATATATCCTGGTAATAATGGACTACTATAACAATAAATTATTCCAAGAATAAATGAAAGAAAAAGTATTCCAAGGTACCTAAGAAAGCAAGAAATAACTGGAAAAAAAGGTTTATGAAAAATTCCTTACCACCACTCAGAAACTTCTGGATAATAAGACATAAGTTTAGCATGAATATCGTTTTTTTTATCAGATAATGTCATACGAAATTGTTCGACAATGAATTTACCTAAAACAATTCATATCGATCGTATAGATTCAACACATATTATTGTCGTTTTCAAAAAGCAATAGTTCTGACTGTTTTTTGAATAAATTCTGATAGAAACGACATAGACATCCGGATATTGCACCATTTAAGAGAGAAGACTTTAAACCGTGTGTATACGTCAAGATCTGATTGGTCAAAACTCGATTAATCATGTGTGTTTTTTTAGAAGATTTTGAAAAAGATTTTCTAAAGCCGTTTCCCATAGATTTTTCACTTGGAATATAATCAATCGATAGGAAAAACTTTTCTCTGCTGATCTTTACAAGACAAACTTTCTAGCAAATTTCATTAAAGTAATTCATCATGCTAGATCGAATGGTGATGTTTGTTTTCAGTTTTCCAATGACTTGAGATCAGTTTTTCAAGATTCTCAGTATTTTAATCATTATGTAGTGTGGATGAGACTTTTGAAAGTTCAAAAATATTGAAAAACTTGTGTCAGCTCGCTTTGAAACTGAAAACAACCATCATCACCATTCGAAGTTCAAGGTACGATTGAGTTAATTATTCTCTAGTATCTCAATATTGTACAAAGATAAAAGACGTATATATTCGATCAAATTATATAGAATTTTGTTAATTTTTTAGCAAATTTTCTCACCTATTATCAAAACTTCATTGTAACAGAAAATTGTTTCCAAGCATTTTTTCGAATATTTTGAGAAGAAAATGAGTTTTTAAATAGTTTTGTCTCATATCTTATTAGAAAAAAAAGACATCCAAGAAACTCTACTTTGAGTTTCTGAAAATCATAGATCATTTACTGGTGTCGCTGTTGATTTATTGAGCTTACACACTCACCACTCTTCAATTCTGGGACGAACATAAGATAGATTTGCAAACTTGGGTATTTTAGCGCACTTTAGATGGCATGTTCGAGACACCCATACTGGATAGCCGATAAAATATAACTGTTATACATAGTTATGAATGACAAAGAAGAGAAAAATATTATTTCCTATATTTCAGCATTACAAAAGGTAAAAAATTTGAATTTTAAAAAATCCTGAAATCCACATGTTCGTGATCAGTGCATACAGTTTCTTGTAACAATGTATGAATAAAACCGAAATCGTTTCTGTTCAAATTTTGTGTTGTTGACATGTTACTTCAATATCAGAAATCCCCATTAAAATACAGTTAGAGAACTGCTTAGGGCAATTCAAAAGTGGTGATGCAAGTACTTTATTTTCTTATAGAAAACTTGAAAAAATTTTCTTTTTCTATGACATGATAGAGAAAATGACAATCTATTCTTCTATGCTATTCGGTCACTATTCAACTAATATCATAATGATAAAATTTCGATGAGAATCGTTTTTGTTGAAAACTAATTGGTAGCATTAAATCATAAAGGCTGAGACACTTTTGTATTTTACTTTGTTATCACTTAATACATTGTATTAAAAAAACTAAAATGTACCATGAAATGCTCTACAATTTACAAAGAACAATTATAACAAGGTGAGATAGAACAAAAAACGAATTCGTCTTTTACAAAAACAAAATCTCGTTTTTGCAACGTCGAAATTTGCCCATTTACAGTTTTGTCCATTTTGAAAACAAAAAGTGCAACTGTAAAATAAGTGATTCTTTACAAATTGTACAGCTTTTCACGCTGTATCTTGTGGTATATTTTCTTTTTTTAATACAACGTATTAAGTGATGATACAGTGAAATGCAAAAGTGTTCCACCTCTTATGATCTAATGCTACCAGTTAGCTTTCAACAATAACAGTTCTTATCGAAATTTTATTATTATAATATTAGTTGAATAGTGATCAAATATCATAGAAAAATAGAGCGTCATTTTCTCTATCACGTCACAAAAAAAAAGAAAATTTTTTCAAGCTTTCCATAAGAAAATAGAATACCTCGATCACTACTTTTGAACTGTCCTAAGTATTTAAGCAGATATACCATTAAATAAATTTTTTCAAGTTAAACAAAACAAAAAACATACCATGGTAAAGTACTGTATGCACAATATATGCTGAAAGGGCAGCAAGGACAAAACAGTATGAAACAGCATAAGCTGCAGTCATTCGTATTCCACCTATAAATATTTAATTTATTCTTGATATAAAAATAATAATAAATATTACCATAAATTTCATAGGCTGTTTCATTTAAAAGTAAATTTTTATTTAAAACTTTCATCGAATCATAATAATCACCATTGATATCAAAAGCTCTATTTGAAATAATTGGCATTTTTTTCGAATCCCATGTATTTGAATAATAAATAATTGGTGTTACAATCCAAATAACAACTATAAATCCAACAAATATATTCACATGAGCCCTTAAGAAAAATATTTCAAATAATTTTTAGATTAAAATAAATGTTTACCAAAAGGGAACAAGAATAGGTGAATCTAAAAATGCAACACAAACATTCCAATCGAATCCTATTGCACCTAAACTAAGTCCATTTGCACCTGTTATTTGTGAAAAAATAATATTATGTGGTGCAATCATACAAATAAATGAAAACATAGATAAAAGAGGAAAAATATATCCTGGAAACCAATACCAAATAAATTGAAATAAAACAATTAACCAAAAAAATTTTGAACGTGTCATTTTCCATCGTGTTTTATTTGTTTCTATTTTACTTTCTATATCTAATGTACGTATTAAACAACAAGTCATCAAAGTTTTTGGCCATATCATTGAAGCTGGCCATACAAGATATCGTTTTAGAATACCTGCAATTGATAATGCAAGTAAATTCATCACTATTATAAATAATATTGCATTGACATGATCAACATAATAATTAAAATAAACACGTTCAACAGTGATTGTTTGAATAGCATGATTTGTTTCTATTCCAGATGTTGCCATTATTGTAATGAGTGCATGTTCTTTCATAGAAAATGATCCTGGATTTATTGGTATATTAAAAATTTGTTCTGGTAAAATCTTCGACATGAATTCACCCATCATATAACCTAATAATATAACAATACCAATATTCATATCTAACGGTGAAGTACGATAGGCAAAGAATTGAGATGTAATAGACATAAGACATGTTAATAGAATACCAATAAATACTGAACGAAATGTTAAACATAAAACTGTCGGATCATCTTTATTTGAGATATTAGCAGCAACTTCTTCATATGGTGATTGTTCATCATCATTATCATTTGAATTATTAAGTAAGGGCTTTGTTGTAGTACTCTTTAAATATTATTCGAATAAAAAAAGTTTTATGTTAATGTTAAAGTTTATTTTACCTCATCATCATCATCAAGAGTTGTATTAAGATTATTTAATTCAATTGGTTTTGATAATGTATTGTCAATATTTTTATATTCATCACGATTTATCATTATTTTTTTCTACCACAAAAAAAGCTTAAATATGTTATTCATAGAACGTAAAGCGCCATGTAAAAGTAATTTTTATGTATATGTTTGCGACTATCCCTTTTAAATCTAACCAAGCGCAACGCCACGCTACATAGCATGAAGGAAAAAGAACATGAATAACTGATAAATTTATACAGGTGTAAATAGAAATATTTGATGTTTTTTCTTCAAGCAAAAAAGTAAGGACTAATTGAATGTGACATAACTACTTTCTCTTATCGTTCGTATGCTGAGAAAATTACACGAAGTAAGTGAACACGTTTTTTCCGGAGTTTCTGGAGAATGGCTCGTCTGAATAATTTGTAATTTTTAGGGCCAATAGGTATCGATTAATAGAATAAAGGTTGTCATAGACTCGACATTCTTGGATGCTTTCCTATAGGGGATACTGAGGTTTCAAAGACCAAATATGAACTCCCTTGCTAGGTCGAAATAAGTTTCACAGAGCTGAAAATCTTTTTTTGCGTATACAGTACAGGATAAAAGTAAGTGCCCCCTCCTCTCTTAGTTCCTATGAGAGCTAAAGATCTGAAAGCTCCTCTACAGGTAGTCCACAGATAGTGTAGGTCAGCGGTAACATCCGTGCCAAAATCGCTTAAGCCAGAATAGAGTTATAACAGGTTGTATCTACGATCACGGTAAACCCTGTAACTCGAGATGAGATAATTATTTTGATTTGTCCATTCCCTCATTTTGTATCCCTGCACTATAGCTATTTCTCATATAAATTTTATCGAAATCCATCCACCTATTGACGAACTAGAGCAGTTTTACTGAAAACATAAATGTGTATGAAAACCATAGAATGCCATTGTACGGTCAAGAACTCAGCAAGAGTTTGATGGATCCATGTGAAATTTTCAGAAGCAAACACTTTATTAAACGAAAATGGTGCATTGGTAACCATTGTGATCTTGCCATGTCTCTGAAGTCTTTATTATTCAAGTAAAGGGGTTCATCTTTTGTGCAATGAAAGCAGGGATGGGCGACTCCGAGTCAAAACTCGGACTCGAGTCGACTCGAGTCACATTTTTTTACTGACTCGGACTCGACTCGGACTCGGAAATCGGATGATCTTGACTCGACTGTGTGACTCGAGTCATTCACTCGAAAAAATTTTCATTTGCTTTTATAAAAAAATCACAATATATAGAACTAAATTTTTTCTGATTCGCAATTTTCATTCTAATGAAATATACGGCATTAGAACGTTCTCTTCAAAAGCTTTATTCCACTTATTTATCTGATCGTAAATCTTAGTCTACACATATTACAGGATGCATATATATGTATTGTCTCCTTCTGTTTTGTTTTGGATTATCTGTGAAGCGAAAAAAGACATTTGTATATGAGTAAGCATTTCTTTTTNACTTGAAAAATTTCTGCGTACGCCATTGACCCACACCCCCACTCTATAGTGAAAATTCACTAGAAACATCTGATCTACTTATTGATGCATGTGATGACTTCAATTAAACTTCTTCCGATCATAGAAGGCCTACAAAGACACGTTGATGAGAGTAGAAAAAGTCTGAAAATATTCGACTTTTGAAGTCAATTTATGATTGTTTTATTGAATGATCGACTCATTGTAAAAGAAAATTTATTTCACATACTTTTTGTACTTTAATAAGTTGTAATTCTGTTTCTTTACTATGTAATTCATCTTTAACACGTTGAATTTCTTTTTCAATATCAACATCATGTTCACGTCGTCCACCGGAACCATATTCCGGATGACGACGATGTATATGTGCTTGTAAATAATCTACACTTAAAAATGAATGTGCACAAATTGGACACTAACAAAAGAAATAAATACATATGAATTTATTATAAAGATGAAGAAAAAAAAAATCTATGAATAATATACAGTATGATGAGCTGGTTGTTGTGTCATTAACATTTTTTGTAATGTATCAATCATTTTTTTTCGTTTTTTTGATTCTTTTTTTGTTGTATTTAAATCATTTCGTAATTTTTCCATTTCTCGACGTGATTCTTCATGATCCTTGAAAAGAAATTATTTTTTTTCTTTTCTATAAAATAATAAATCTTACTTGAACACTTTTGCCTTTTATTTGTTCATAATCAACTAATTGATTTGTTATTTGATCTTGACAAAGCTATCAAAATGAAAAACAAAATATCAAAGTTCTAAGAAAAATTAGAAAAAATTTCAATACAAACCAAAAGATATTCAATTATTAATTGAGCCATTTTATAAAGTTTAACAAAATTTGGATCCATCGCTCGAGTATCCTTATACAAATTAAAATTTTAGTTAATGAATAAAGCAAAACTTCTGCATTAATTTTGTTTTCAATAGAATATCCCTTTATAGTATTCATAGAGACATGATATTTTTCTATTACACATAGTAAATTCTCTAGTGAACAAAATATTTACAAGAACTTACGATGGAAGTCCTCCTACTGATTAATTGCTTGTGAGTCGAAACAATGTAAATCATACAGAGTCTAATATGTTATACATACGCTTGACAAGAGATACTACATTTTAACAGTATTTTTATAGCATATTATCATAATTCCCATCAGAAACATTGGAAAAAAAACTGATTTTTGACTTGAAATTTTAAACATAGATAGACATTGAACATAATAGTTTGTTATGAATATTTTACATTTTTTGATTTGCTTCTATATTTGAAAAAAGAGCATCGAGTGTACCAGTGTATATTAACTATGTTTTACCATGACAGTATCTTAAGATAAGAACGATGAAAAAATCTCACATTTTCATAATGAATTATCTCTATGCAATGTTTCAAGTCGAAATTCAAAAATTTGTTTGTTCGATATTTCTAAGGAAGATCATGGAATTGTGCTTGAAAATACTGTAAAAATGCAATATCCTACCAACAATAAGGTAACAGCATGAACTCTTTTTAGGGTATGTACGATGTACATTGTCTCGACTCAAAAGTGCCTCTTCAATTGAAGGACGTCTCTCGTTCGTCGGAAATATTTCCCGAAGGCCATAAAAGTCCTAGAACACAAGATGCATGAAAACTGTTTCGCAAGTTTTATTTTTTTTTTTGAATTTCGATCAAACTTCATCTAATAATAAAACTTTATTTTTTTATTTGTCTTTTCCGAATTTGATTATGTACTGTACCAAAGAAAAAGATATTATATAAAAGCTTGTATAGAATCTACTGATATCGACAATTTTTTCTCTTGTCAACATCTAATTTATATTTCTAACTAAACAATCTGTTGTTGTAATGAATAGTTTTATACTCTGATTGAACTTGTAGAAATTCTTGAAGACTTTTTGCTTTAAAGTATTTTTTCAGTCTTCATAATAAAAAACAAACATAAATTCTCTATAATATTACCTTGAAACATAATGTTAAAAATTCATGCAGATTCTTTTATCCTATATATTAAAACTTGTTGACTTACAACTTCCATATCAATATTACATAATGCAATATGTTCAATATTGTCTTGTAGAACTTGAAAATTTAATTCTCGTGCTATTCGTTCAACATCAATTGCAGCTAGATTTTCGGAAAAAAATTATCTTTTCAATATTTCTTAAAAAAAAAATAAATAAATTTTTCATACCAATTCGACGCCAATCAATTTTTTCATTTCGTTTATTAAAAACAAATGAATGACTTATTGGTTGTTGAGATACATTATTTAAATAAAGATAATTCATTTTTTTAATTCTATTTTACTTCTGTGATTAGTAATGATTAATGGAAAACTAAAGCGCCACCTTATATCACCATTAACTAAAACGTTTCCATCGATACAACTTTAATAAAATTAGATATTAATTAAAAAATAATTTTTCGAAATAATTTATAAATTATCATATTGAAATTTTCATATATTTTTATTAAATACCATAGGAATTATAGATGTCACTTTGAAATGAATCATTCATATTGATTATTGCATCTATCGATTATATGAATTTTTTTGTTTTATACATTCATTTGACATATTGTGTATAATGTTCTTCTTATTGATTTATCTATTTGTAAGTGATACTATCGTTTTTCTTTTTTCTTCTTTATAAATTATTTTTTGTATTTCGTTAAGATACCGGTGATAATAACACACGGTGATCAGCTATCAATAAATTCTATTCAGTCAGTAATTAATCCAGATATTGAAATAAAAAATTGTACATTTGGTGAAATATGTATTGGTGCTATTAATTCAAGTTCTCTACATTTTTATTCTGTTGAATATTCATTTGATCCTACGATGGTAAAGAAAAAGAAATTTTTGTAAGATTATCTTATCTGTAAAGCATTATTCTATAGCTCTTCATTGTTTATTTTATTCCAAAATGAACATTTAAAGTTCAAGTAATCCTCAATTGATGTTTGACATCTTGTTATGCTCCATTATTTTGTTGATAATTATAAAAAATTTGCTCCTACAAATAAACATTGAAATTCATATATTTTACTAATTATGAGGAGAATGCTGCTAATTAGAAAATAGAATTACTTTCCATGTCGAACATTTTTTCGTGCTATCACAGCACTCATAAAAACCAACTATCGGTTTACTACAGCACAATAACGGTAGATCCCATTATACTCTAGTCATATGAAAAATGTATAAGATGTAATAATTACCGACTCAGAAAAACTATCTCGTATCTTTGCGCCGATTCTCTGATTCCGATTAGAAAATTTCCTTAAGAATATTAAAATACGGTTCAACTGGGTAGGAAAATTTTGAGCTCAATGAACTCTTACTTCAAAAGAATATATAATCATAGTTATGTATTTCATCGTTGTTAATAAATTTAAGATACTTTTCTGATCTACTTTGATGATTCGATATATATTTTTTGTTTTGAAATCTATCATCTTAGGCTATTCGTGTAATAACGAATATGACATATAAAATCGAACAAGAAGCTCCACTTGTAATTGTTGTTCGACAAATTCGTGGTGTTATTTCATGGACATTACCATATACATTTACTAATGGGTAAAACTAAAACTTTCTTTTTGAATTTGAAATTAATAATAAAAATGAAATTATTTATTTATAGTATGATTTATTCAAGTGCTTCACGTATACTTTGTTTACAAAATGAAATTAATCGTACACATCCACATATAAGTCGAGTATTTATTGAAATATCAACATCAAATATTGATTGGATAGATTATTCATTACAACTTGAAAATATAACTGAATTTTTACTTGAGTAAAAAACAAAAAAAAATTTGATATAAGAAATTATATTTTTTAAATTTTAGAACCGGTGTTAGTCGACAATTTTTTGTTTCACCAGCTATGCCAATTTATTATAAATTTACTTTTCCACCAAATATTGAAAATGTTTTTATTGATGTTCGTTCTACAGATCAATTATGTACAGTTGTATCTGTACAATCATTTGATTGTCCTGTTTATGATGTTAGTGAAATTGGTATTAGACAAGGACATTATCAAACAATGGCATCAATTGCTTCATTTAATGTTTATGTAAATTAAAAAAGAACCATATCGAATAAGATGATTATCCTTTATTTGAAAAATCATCGATATTGTTTTATAAACCAACTAGAGGTGTAAGCCATCCAGCTGCGCCGCCGCAACTAACATTTTTAGGAGTAAAACCGTTTTTTTTGTCAAAGCCGCCATGAAAAAAAATTGGACCATTAAAACAGCCGCCGCCGTTTGATCCTTCGGCTGACACCTCTAAAAGCAACTAGTACTAAATGTTATCTCGATGTTTTTTTCAAATATTTTGACAATGAAAGTAGCTAGAAAACCGCAAAATTCGAAAGAGAAATGAAACTTTTTTGAAGATTTTGACGAAAAAATTTTCTCAGTCTATAATGAGTTTGAATTTAGGAAATTCATAGTGAAGATATTTGTATGTCGATCTATACAAAGCCGACTCTTCAAGTTTATTTTATTCAAGAATTATAAGTGTTTTACTAGAATCCTTCCAATCGATCAACTAATTACGTTGAGTTTCGTGTATTCGTCTACACTGAATCCAATGATCTTGAAAATACTTCATCTAACGTTGAAAATTTGATTTGATTAAATTACAAAAAAATCATAATCTTTCAACTTAATGATTATATTGAAGGCAAAAGCGAGCAATCGTACGATCTTCTTAAAAATTATGTATCTTAAAAAGATCAACTTTTTGATTTCTCGGGACAGAAATGCATTTGAATTTCGCGATAATTACTTTTTAAATGAAAAATTTTCTATCAATTAATAATAATTTCTTCATATTATCATTTCATTAGACATACATAAATATTTCGAAAATGACAAAAAAAAAAAAATATATACATACGAATTTACATTCTGAGTAACCAGGTGTGATTAGAATATGAAGTTCTATTAGATTCAATATATGTTCAGTTTCTCATGATAATTAAAGATTTTCCGAACCTTCATATTCTTCTACGAAAACAGTTATCAAATAAAGGATAATCATATTATCCAATGTAATCCTTTGAAATTTAATCACAACAAAAAAATTCTATTGTTTTAGGCTAGTGAATTTCCAAAACGAAATACATTTCTATTAGTTTTTCTTGTACAATCAACAGATGCTGATTGTTTAAATGATCAAGAACAAACCATAATTCAACCAGCAGGTGTTGTTGATGTTCAACGACAAAAAAATGCTACAGTAACATTACATCCACCAGCTAATTGTATGAATAAAAATATTATTTTTATTTAGTTTTAATTGCTTTTTATTTTTCTTTTACTTTTAGATAATTTTCTTTATATTGCAATATTTACAACAATTGGATTATTTCTTTTAATTTATTTTGTTGCTTTTACAATTATGTGTAAACATTCAGATATTTAGTAAGTTATTAGTGTTATAATTCAATTGATTTTATTGGGATGTTTTTTTAGTGATCATTTAGGACCTGATCAATTACGTAGGACAATAAAATTTGTTTTTTATTAAAAAAAGAAAAAAACTTTTTTTTTTTATTTTTGTAGCATTATTGGAAGCTATAGCTGAACAAGATATTGCAGGTAGACAAAATTGTAAAAAGATAATTGATAGAATATAAATTTCTTTTTCTTTTATATTGAAAATAGAACGACAGAATAATGAACGTAGTTATCAAACGTTCGGAGGAGAGGAAAATATGATATCTACAAGTGAAAATCAAGTTGAACAATCTGGTCGTGCTATTGAAGTTATTGAAACATCAAATGTAAGTTAAATAAAATGGACAATAATGACAAATTTAATTTGTTCAAATATTTTTTTATGGTAATAATTAGGAATAAATATATCCCAGAAAAAAACTCATACTAACCGTTTATTATTGTACACTTATTTTTTAGTGTAGTTCATTGATAGAGAATTTATATCTTAGAAAAAAAAATTAAATTCTCTGAAAAATCAGGTCAATTTTCTCGATTCCGTCAGAAATATTTCTCAGCTCTCTATAACTTTTCTTCATTGAATTTACGCAATGTTCTAAAGACATTTCTTCGAACATTTATTGTTTTATGTTTTTCATCAGTTCAACCTCTTCCCCTTCTAGAAAACTCATTCACCTACTCAAATCTTTTGTTTTTTTTCTTACTGATTCGGGTCTAGCTATATTACTATGACGTAAATATCTCAATTAGAATATTGTATAATCTGATTTTTGTTTCTTACAGGTTGGTTTTGTTACTGTAAGTGATTTATGTGCTAAAGATTATGATTATTCGAAACAAAAATTTCGTATATATCCTCAAACAATGTTAACAATAGCAATATTTTATTCTTTACCTGTTATACAACTTGTTTTACAATATCAACTTAATATTGATTCATCGGGAAATGAAGATATATGTTATTTTAATTTTTTATGTATACGACAATTTGCTATGTTAACAGCATTTAATAGTGTTTTTTCGAATATTGGGTATTGTGCATTAGGTTTACTTTTCTTAATAATTGTTTATCGAAGGTAAAGAAACAAAAACAAAAGAAATAAATATTGTTTTATATTCTATAGAGATATGGCTTATGCACGATTTCTTACAAGATATCCTGCTATTGGAAAAGTAACAAAGAAAAAAAAAATCAATAAAAATATACAATGAAAGAATAATTTTATTATATTTTATTAGGAATATGGTATTCCACAACATTTCGGTCTATTTTATGCAATGGGTATTGGTTTATTTATGGAAGGTCTTATGAGTGGATGGTAAATAAAGCAAAAAAAACATAATTCTTTAATATTTTGTTTTTTGTTTTTATAGTTATCATATTTGTCCATCAAAACAAAATTTTCAATTTGATACAAGTTTTATGTTTATTATAGCTGTTTTAAATATAATTAAAATATATCAAACAAGACATCCAGATATAAATCCACATTCAGCCGGTTCATTTTCGTTTTTAGCTGTTATTATTCTTATTACAGTTATTGGAGTTGTATGTTGAAAAAAAAGAAACAAATATTTGTATATTTATTTTCTTTTTGTTTCGAATAGTATTATGATGAACAATGGTTTTGGATAACATATGCTACTATTCATATTTTAGCTTGTTTAGCATTCACAGGAAAAATTTATTATATGGGAAGATTAAAAGTTACTTTTCGTGTACATGTAAGTTTTAAGATCATACTTAATGCTTTTTATTTTTGGTATAATCTACCATGCGAAAGTCTTCGTTTTGGGATAAGAATAGATATCTATCATTAGATATGTTTCAAATTTTTTAGTTTATCAAAGAAAGGCTATTTTTCAAAACTCATGATAATCAGGGGTGGCGCGAAGAGATTGGAGCAGGTAGGGAGGTCAGCCCTAAAATCGGAGAAAGTCAAAAAGTGTTCTCTAAACTGAAATTTTCTCCGAATCAGAATTTTGTAATATATTTCTCCAAAATTGGATTTTTCTGGATTCATAGAAATATATTCAACACTATTGTATAAATTCACAGAAAATTCAAGTTTGGAGAACATTTTTGGGCGCTTTTCCACAAGTTTCGAGAAATATATTATACAAANGCGGTTCCGGTTCCCGGTTCGGTTCCGGGTAATTTTTGGAACCGCAGACCTCTAGCTAGATCCGATATGTTCAATACATGTAGATAAACTTAAAGAATTTCTTTGTCGTTGAGTATACAAGAACTTCTATAATTTTACAATGCAAACAAAATAGATTCTCTATATATATCACCGTAGAGAAACAAACTGTTTTTTTTTTGCGAAACACAATCTAACAGAAGTGTAAAAGTATAAGGGTAAAAGTTTGGAACTTCCTCCCTCATAGATCGTAATTAGAAATCTGCGGAGTGAAGCGATTTTTTGGTTCCGATTCTAATTTGGTCCGAGTATCTCCAGCAGGCATTGCGCTAACAGTTTTCTTTTTAGTTGAATTTACTTTTCTTGTGTAGAATTTTCTGTTGATGGATTTTGTTTCCAAACAACAGTAATCGTTTTGATAATTATATTAATCAATTTCAAGTCATAAATAAGATCTTTAGTAAGTTTAATTTTTAAATGATGATGAAGAAGTGTATCAATAACATAAATTGAATAATCAATAGCATCTTTTTGATTAGTAAAAATAAATTCTGTTGATAAAAGATTTTTAGTTGTATTTTCATAGAATTGATAAAGTAAAGTAGAAAAAGCTGCAAGCCAATCAATATCATATGGTATTTGACGTAAATATTTAATAAAATAAGTATCAACAACAAAACGATAAAATTCTAAACCAATATTAGAAATAAAATTTAACGGACAATAATAATATAAAAGTTCAATATATCTAAAAAAAACAAAAAAATAATTTCTATTAAAAAATCTAAAAAAAAAAAAGATCAATTCTAGAAAACTAACCGCATTAAATAGACAGGTTTTCGTATAGATAAATTGAATAATTGTTTAAATCTTTTATGATCATTTAAAAATGAATGATAAAAATTTTGATTTTTAATTAATGTATTTATAATTAAAATAAAAAAATTATCATTCATTTTATCATTTAATAATAATTGTTCAAGATATTCAACTACAAGATAACCTTCATTATTTCGATTAATTATATTTGACATTATTTGTGGTCTCATCCATATTTGATAAAATTTTTCACTTAATATTTGAAGTTTTTCTAATGATATTTCACGATATTCATATTCATTATAGGCTCGTTTAATTGTATTCAAAAGTAATGATTCACTTTCTACTAATGTTGATATTCGAGAAGAAGATGACATTGTAGATTTTTATAATTAAAATTAATATTCATTATCTAGATTTTTTTCTTCGATATGAAACATTAATAACATCAAAATGATGTGAAGAACAAAAGTTGAAAAACTATAGATAATTTAGGTTATCATTCGATTATAAGAGTTTTATATTTAAGACAGAAATAGAGATTATATTAAAGCGCCAAGGAATTCATTGCTTTTATTTTTCGGATGTTTCATTTTTTTTTTTTCTATTTCCTTGGAATGATATTCAAACAAATGAAAAAATTAAGCTATTTGATACATTACAAGCGTGGATAAAAGTCTTCCTCAACTCCACGATAAATGTAGTCATAGACAGCGGAATGTTTTGATTCTAGCGTAGGCTTAACATTTTACATAATCTATGAGGGTTTGTCCGCATGCATTGACTTTTCCAATTTATTAAAATTTTGCTTATAAGTAGATCTCATGGACCTTAGAATGCCTTGAAAATTTCAGCCCAATAATGTATGTTGTTTCTTGAGATATCGAATATCCAAAAAAAAACAATCATATGTTACAAGAAGAATCTGTCAGATCCAAAATTTTCAAGGCATTCTAAAAGTCCATGAGATCTACCTATGAGTAAAATTTCAGATTGGCATTCCGTCCTTCGATTTCTTCACAAGTATCTTGTCAGATATTTAAAAAAAAAAAATCTCAGTAAAACTGTAATAACTTGGATAGGCATCTATTGATCTTGTCGAAACTTATTTATGGACAAAATATTAATTCGACTGGCAAGTCACACTTACGAGGAAACGTTCCCAAGTGATTAAAAACTTTTGAGCTCATATGTTGCCCATCAGGTAGGGAACCACTAGATTAGAGAAATCTCCAAAGGATTCGTGCCCATATTGAGATTTGACAGAGATATCGAATTTTTAGTGGATTTATCCCGCTGGACCCTAGTTCTACAGCAAAATCATATTTTCGAATTTCGACCTGAAACATTGCCCAAATGAAGGCCTCAATCAGAGTAGCTTATATAAAAAATTTCAGAATTTTTGGACATTGCATCTCCAAGGTATCAATCTTTCAAAGTATCCATGTTATCTATAGAAAAGTGCCTATATTTTCAAAAATTGATACCTTGGAGATGCAATGTCCAAAAATTCTGATATTTTTTATACAAGCTACTCTGATTGAGGCCTTCATTTGAGCGAAGTTTTAGGTCGAAATTTGAAAATATGATTTTGCTGTAGAACTAGGGTCCAGCAGAAAAAATCCACTAAAAATTCGATATCTCTGTCAAATCTCAATATGGGCACGAATCCTTTGGATATTTCTCTAATCTAGTAGTCCCCTACCTGATGGGCAACATATGAGCTCAAAAGCTTTTAATCACTTGGGAACGTTCTCTCGTGAGATTGAAATGCAATCTCACAAAAAGAAAACAATGTTTAAGATTTTATTTCCATTAATGCATGATTCTCTGTTAATTGTATTCAAATTTTGTGGTTGATACTACTAGATTTGATTCCATGATGTATTTAGTTCTTTGCAAGGCATACAAATGCTTAAAAAATTATTGGAACACCTGAATTTAATCACAAAGGTAAGTCGATAAAGAGAAAAGATAACATATGGATTTCATTCTTTTCATCAGAAAGTAGTCACAGGTGAGTTCTAACTACGTTACATATATCAAGGTTAGGCACATAAAGTCCCATACATGAGAAGAATTTTACTACAAAGCACGTGTCCTCTGAAACAGAAAACTATTTGAATAGTTACATTTACCATGTTTCAACTGCTTTACCATGTCGTAAATATGCTTCGATCATATGCTATTTCAGGAAGAAGCTTCTTCTTGGCATGATGAGTTGCCTTGAAGTGAAAATCGAATTTGAAAATAGATGGAAAGTTCGAAAAACCTAAAAGATCTATGGTTTTTAGAGAAGCAAATTTCGTTAATAGACTTTTGAAAATGTTGCTTAAACAAGTTTTCAATTAAGTTCGATGTTCAATTAAAAAGAGTTCATCATGGTGAGAAAAGTTTCTCTCTCAAATGGTATATGACTGGAACATATTATTTACGGCATGATAAAACGTTAGAACATGGTAAATGTAACTATTTAAATATTATTCTGTTTCAAAGAGCACGTTCTCTGTAGTAAAGTCATTCTTACATCTGAGACTTTATGTGCCAAAGCTTAATAAATGTACCGTAGTTAGGACTTACTTATGGCTATCTTCCAGAGAAATTTAAACGAACATCAAATTTTATCTTCATTGATTATTGACTTACTTTTATGATTAGATGCAAGTGTTCCAATAATTTTTTAAACAAATGTAGATCGATCAGTGAATATGAGTCGAAATGACAATCGAATTTTTTTTATTTTACCGACAATAGATGATTATCAGAAGTCTTTCAATGTAATCTTTTCGTAGTTGATTTTATTTATTTTCAGAAAACTCAAATAAACTATTTTATTGAAAAGAAAAACAGAAAATTTACGAAGTTGAGTTTTGATCAATAGAAAATCGCTGAACTCGATGATTCCAACAATCGACAACATAAAGATTTCCATGTCGATCAAACGCTATACCTTTTGGTTCACTAAGTTGATTTGGTTGTGGGCCTGGACCATTTCCGCCAATAATAATAGTTGCTTGATTAGCATCTTTAGACCAACGGATAATGCGATGATTCCCACGATCAGCTATGTATAAATTCGACGATGGATCAACAATAATTCCACAAGGATACGATAATTGTGTTAAGCTATTTCCTTGACCTTGACCTCCAGCTACGATAATTCCTTCTTGTGCATTCTTTGTCCATTTAACGACGCGATGATTATCTCTATCCGAAACATAAATAGACTGATCGTGATCAACAAATAGAAAAGTTGGCGAATTTAATTGATCAAGACTATCACCTTTTCCATTTCCTCCAGCTACAATCGTTCCTTGAGTTTCACCAACTTTCCAACGTTTAACAACACATTGACGAATATCCGAAACATAAATAAATCCATGTTGATCCATTGTTAAACAAGCACAATCGATATTTGGAATAATTGTTTGTCCACTTGTTCCGCCTTGATAAGGCCATTTAAGTACTCGTCGATTTCGTTTATCACAAATAATAAAAAAATCTCTTTCTTTATCAAGAATAAGATCGATGGGACCATCTAATTGATCAGTTCGATTTCCTTGACCATTTTCACCAGCAATAACAAGACCACTTGTTGCATCATATTTCCATTCTACAATACGATTATTATTAAAATCAGCTATATAAACAGTAAAATCATCATCAACATAAAAACCATTTGGACAACTCAATTGATTAAATCCATTGCCCTTTCGACATCCACCAGCGACAGTTAAACCATTTTGTGTCCATTTTGTATTCATATTAATCATAGTAGAAGGGCTTTGTACTAAAAGAATATTTAAATTTATATCAATCAGACTTTTCGCATGTTTTTTAAAACAGATTAAAAAAAAGAGATTTCGACTATTGATTAAGATTAATTATTCAAAGAACAAATATGATATCGTAACATAAAGTATATTTCTAGAGAGAACACTCAATCAATTATTAACAAAGTATAAGATATTTCAACCGTTGATATGAATTAAATGGCATACTTCACTAATCCTTCTAATTTCTATAGATTTTTTTTAAAGAAAAGCTGTCCAGTCTGGAAATAATAGTGATGGATTGTTCTTGTATATAGCTAAAGCACTTCGAACTCGAATTGATACCCGAAATAATGTGAGAATATGAATTTAATCGAAATTCTTTTTTTATTTCTCTAGAAAATATTTAACTGAATTGAAATAACCGATAAAATTGATTTTATCAGAGACACATCTGATTAAAATTAGCTGAGAGTTTGTTTTGTTTTTCAAATACTTTCTCTCATAGTCTGATTATTTATTTTCAACGTTAGAAAATTTGTCTCAGGCAGAGTACAAGATAAAAAAAAAAAAGTTTTCTCTGGACATATCTATTATCAATAAAAACAGTTACATCCCTAAGTAAAAGTTTTCCTTACTCCCTACATTTCTTTAAAACTTAATATTTGCCTTCTTTTTATTACTCAACTCATGTATAATATAAATATGGTTCTGAACTATAGTATTTCTCGTTCATAATATTCTTCTTTGTTAATTGAAATGACTCAATCTTATGTAAGATTGGTTAATGTATAAAATCTTGATCGATATCGAGAATAGTTATTCTTTTTCATCCTTCTTTTGTAAAATGTCAAGCATGCCATTTTCTCTATCACAACACTATGAAATTGTGTTTCGCAAACTACATTCACTGGATCCTACAAGAGTCAAATAAAACCAAAAACCGTAGAGCATTGGGTTGCCTGGTGGCAACACAATGAAGATTTGCTTAATTTACCAAGAACTGACTAATCACGTACCATGTCAAAGAAAACGGATACAAAGTTTGTTAATATTACCAAATACGAACCGAAAATTACATCAAATGACATTTCAAACATTAATAAAAAAAGGGACAATGTGGATATATATTCAAATTTTGTTAGTTGTTGAATACGTGAAAGTGACGAAAGTTATGATTCACATTTTAAAAAACCCTTTTACTCACAGACAAACATCATCTGCAAAACTGGCTCATCTGGACTCGATAGCATCAAAATTTCAATTAGGAAAAACAACATGTGTTTTTACCCGTGGAAACAATGTTTGGTGATTTGTAGGTTTTACCAAAATTGCTCGTACAGTTAAATACCGTTTTCACGTTGCATGTCTGTACATGTTTTTCAAAACAAGGATTCAGACAATTAGTTACTTTCAAACACAATTTGACAGGAGACTTTATGTGCAACATATATGAGAACAGTCTTCTGTCTACGGCTCACTGTCAATATTTTTGAAGGTCTAACTACAGTAGTTGGATTCTCCAAGAGGACAATGATTCTAAACACTGATCCTGATTAGAAGATCGATAATGGAACTCAACTTCTGTCTGTGCTCTTTTCATCATCAGATCAAAATTCAATTGAAAATGTTTGGTTGATGATATAGAATACAATAGGTTAAAAAAAATCAAACAACTCAAGAGTTGGAACATGAAAATAAGAATTGGATGCAAAATTCTTTCAATTGACTTGACTGTCAAATTTGTCGATAGTATGAAAAGACGAACACAGTTCTTGATCGAAGCAAATGGTGACTATACACATCATATTAAAATAAAATGCTTCTGTTGTACATTAGGTCGATAATGAAAAGAAAGCAAATATTAAAAATTTAAAAAGCAAAAGAAGAGAAGACTTCTGCTAATGAGTGTAATTTTATTGATGAATACAATGACTCACATGTTAATTGTTGTTTTTGAGGATAAATAAGATTAGTCCAATTGATTTTGTTATTTTCTATGAGAGTAATATTTGATTTATCTTGTCCATTAAGTTGTCGAAGAAATTGTTGCATTTTATTTAATTTATTTTTTAATAATTGTATATCATTTTCAACAAAATTATTTTCTTCTCGTTGAAAACGAATTTGTCTTGTTAAATTTCCGAATTGTTCTTTGAAAACTTCTCTTTCATGATTGAGCATTTTATTGAGTTTTTGTCGAGCTCCTTCAGCTGCTTTATGTATTTTATCAATTGTTGTTGATTCCCAACGATTTATTTGAGAGAAAAGTTCATTTGAAGACTCATTTAGTTGTTTTATTCGAGATAGAAGTTCATCATGAAATCGAATAATATCATGATCAAATCGATTTGATAATTGTTGACGATGTTCATTGAAATCTTTTAAACAAAATATATTTTTACAACCTCCACATATACACATTGATCCACTTTTTTGACAAATCGAACACCGATTTAATGTTGACTCCATTGTCATTTCTCGTGAGACTGAATATCAGAAATAAAATTCAATTCAATAAAAATTGAATTATCTTACTTCTTAAGCTGAATAGTGATCAATGAGAAATACTGTTACTATAGTTTTGTTTCTATGTACATTAATTCATGTTGTTTTACACTCACAAATGGTTGTCGAACAAAATTTGATAATGATGTATTCTCTTTTATTTTTGTTCTTTTTTAAACAAATTTTTGAAGTGAATTCGTTTTAAACTTACAGAAACGAAAAATTTTTCTTGATGAGATTAATTCTTATTATATTGCCTGTTTCAAACTAAAGCTTTTCTGTTTCATTTTTTTGAATCAATCAACAAGGTTCTTCTGCAGTTTAGTCACACCCTTACACTGATTCGTACACTGAACACAACAATCAGTGTGCGAGTGAGGGCGAAAGTGTGACTAAACTGCAGTAGTGCCTTCGGTAGTTTTTTCAATTGTATTAAGAGATGAATTCTACCCAGTCGATATTTCGTTTCAATTAAATGAATACAGAAATGACAAACATTTCTATTTCGAAATAATAACCGAAATCTTTAAAGTTAGATTGAAGTTGAATTTTCAGTAAAAATTGATGTAATTCTAATTAAGTTTGACTATGCGTGACTAACAAAAAAGTGGTCATTTTTACTTTCTTTTTTAATATGGGTATGTGAAGAAACAAAAATCATTTTTCTCCTTGACCTTGAAAGACAATTATGCTTTTGAATAGGATTAGTGGAGGCTTTCTTTTGTATTGCTTTTGTTTCAACGATAGAAAAAAAAACCTGAATCATTGATCCGTCGAATCGCTTTTGTTATCAATGTTTATATGAATCTTATCTTTTTCTTTTCTTTTTTCTTTTAATTCTTTTTCGTTCTGAATACAAAGAAAGAAAGTGTGTAACATTTCGAGATGGAAATTTTTCATAGGACGACACATTAACCTATTTTATGTCACATTTTCTTTCCTTCGACAAACGAATCTTCGTCATTAAAAATTTTAGATTCTCTTCTATTTACATTTAAAATATGTCGTCAACAAAGCATATTCGACGTATTATCAAAACAACAGCAGGTGGACGTTCAAATGCACCTTATAGGTAAATAAAAAAGAATATCTTCGAATCGATACATCAAATAATTAATTCTTGAATTTAGTCAAGCAGTTCAAATTGATCATATGCTTTATCTTAGTGGTGCTGTTGGGCTTGATCCAGAAACAGGAAAATTTGCTGGTGATACTATTCAAGAGCAAACTCGACAGGTAGAACTAATTCTTAAAATCAAGCGCTAGATAGATATTCATTTAAATACTTTATTTACTTTTCTCTATGCTTAAGAGCAGATTATATTTAGCGGTACTACTTTAGCTCTTCATTAACTCATCATTAGAATTATTTACGGATCAAACTTGATCAAAGACGACACAGATCACAATTTGAAATAAAATGTTTGTTTATTTTTGATTGCCTTAAAAGCATTTCCAAGAAATCAAAAGCTATGAGTTAGGATCAGCATATTTTGATCTATTCGAATGTAGTCTTAGAAATTTTCTTGAGACCAATGGCAATCATCTTTTCCAAAGTCGGAAAAATAGTTTGGACGGAAACTTTTTTCGTATACTGTTGTACTTTCATAATAGCAACTCGAAAATAAATGTTGACACTTTTATTAATAGATCAATTTTATAGAGCAAAAGCTACCTTACAAAGTGTACTATTGGAGTTTTTCTACAGGTTACTTCAATTTTCGTTTCTCTTATATTCTCATTTTTGAAAAAATCAACACTTAGGTAAAAGACATAACTTAGTTCAATATAAAATTTTGTAAAGAAGTATCCACTCTACAAAACAACCGACTCCAATATTTTTTGGCATCTTCGAAAATGAACTTATAGAAATTAGCAAAAGCCTGTTGGTTGACATTCAGTCTAATTTTTGGACCTTTTAGAAATTTCTTCGCTAGTCTTGAACAAAAACTGAGATAAAATCTCCAGGTCCTTATCTGCAAAGTACACCCTATATAACTGTTATTCTCTTTATCTAACTATTTTGCTTAGAAGAATAGAAATCCTAATGATTTGAATGGAGTCAATTGAAATTAATCAATTATTTAATGGAAAGCCTTGTTGAACTCATGATTGTTTTCTAGTATTATCAAATAATTATACAAATATATAATTTTTTTTAACGTATATTTTTGTTTCGTTCTAAGTTATCAACTATTTAGAAATAGAACTGTAAATTTGATAAGTTTGGTGCATATGATACATTAGAAATCTAGGTCACGAACAACATTTCTTCTTGATTATTTATATAAAAAATAATTCAACGGTATATTGCATGATAAGTCAGTTTTAATTCAAATAACGAGAACAAGAATCTGCTATAATTATTGTTTTCTTTTTGCCATATAGTCGAATCTGTGAATCGTTGCTTCTAATGTAATAATCGTTCTTTTTCTATTTATTTCTAGCACAGAATTTTTCTTTTTGAAATTTCTTAACGTAAATGATCAATAGCATGGGAATATTCTATAACAATTAAGTTTTTTTTTTATTGAAGTTATCAAGGAAAAAAAATGTTGCTAATCTGCCTGAATTTTAAATGTATTATATGCACAAAAATTGCCCAGGTTTCAGCTCTCGTAATGATTATGATCTTATAGATACAAATATTTTTTGCCTCGTAATCTCAATAATGCTTTTTCTAATATCATTATTATAAGTCCAATCGTATCAATAAACTAAAGGTTTTCCAGAATTTATCTCTATGACTGTTAAAGAGATTTTTCATAATTAAATAAACTGATTTCTTTGTCTATAAAAAAAATTGAAAAAATAGAATAGATATTAGTGTCCGGTTCAGATCAGTTCGAGCTGAGTGGGGTCAAAAAATGGATGAGTCAGGTTGGGTCAGGTCACAAAAATTTGACGTATGTGGAACACTGTTAGATATAGCTTTAAAGTAGGAGCAATTGTCATCATTGAATCTGGCATTAATTAATTGTAGACACTCAACAATTTGGGAGAAGTATTAAAAGCAGCTGGTATTTCATACAAAAATGGTGCGTAAATGGAGAGAATAAATATGATAAAATTAATGTTTTTTTTATATTTAGTGATCAAAGTCAACGTATTTCTTCAAGATATGAATGATTTTTCGGCTATGAACGCAGTCTATACTGAAGGTAGCTTGAGTTTTAGTCAGGAAATTGAAGAATTTTTTTTTATTTGTTAATTCTAGTCTTTTCTGAACGTTATCCAGCTCGATCAACAGTTCAAGTAGCTGGTCTTCCATTGGTAAAATTTCACAAAATTTTTTAATTTCTAAAATAATGAAGTAAACATTTAGAATGCCAAGATTGAAATCGAGGCAGTGGCCATAATGGGTGATATTGAAGATCAATAACTTATTATTCATATTATGTTTACAATCCATTGATCATTAACTTTTTTCACTTCAATTCTTTTTTATTTTTATATAGCATTTTAATTTGATTCAGTGATATTTAGTAGTTAAAGAAAAAATTCTGTTAAAGAAATGTAGATGAGACCACTTGAAAAAGTTAACATGTTCGTCTTCATTTTATGTGAAAAATTGATTGAAAATACTGAAAATCTATTTAAAAAAGTTATTAGCGCAAAATCTGCGTGATTATGATATGAAAAATGATGTCACTGCTATCGCTAATCGCAGGAACATTGTTTTATTGCGGGATATTTCTTCATCATCCTGTTACTTAATACTCTAGCAATGCAATAAGGAAATAATTCATGTATTATAACAAGACATTATTGATACACTGTCTGTGATCGTATGTCAACAACGTCTATCATGGTTTTTGAGGACGAAGAGGATAGATCCAAATTTTTATCTTTATGCTTCAACAGTTTCTTTAGATCGTGTTTCACAAAATGTCATTGGTTTTTAAATGATGAATTCATTTTAAAAAGTTCTTTACTATTAAAAATAATGCATACCTTTCTAAATTCGATCAATTATAAAATTTTGTTAAATCACATGTCAATTGTTTAATAATAACCTTGACTATCTGCCTTCAATAAGACGATTGATAGATTGAAGTAGAAAAAGAATTTCTACATTCGAATAAATGCTGATTTTAAGGTTTTTGAGCATCGAAACAGCATACATTGATTATCTATCAAATTATTTAAATTTTCTTTTTTCGATTACTTTCTGTGTGGTCATCTTTGTATGCATGGCACAATCGAAAGAAGGTAGCCAGAAATTCGAAAACTGATTTCCTGCAAGTTATGATTTGAATTTATTAAACATATTCGTTGAGCAAGGAATGAAACGCAATGAATTCCGTTATCAAAAGCAGCCTGAAGTCTGTCTGAAATAATTATTGTTATCAATAATTAATTCGATATATTTTTTCAAACTCTTAATTTCTCAACAAGGAGAATTCAAATCTTTATTGGTTCGTGATGATTAGACGATATCGATATTAGCTAAATAAATGTCTTTCAGAATCGAGAGCAACATATAAGTTGTATTCGAAGAGTTAAACAGTTTTCTTTTTATTGAATTGATATACATTCAAGTCGTTTTCGGTACCAATCTCTTTCAAAAGCCAGATCATGGCTTTCACATAAATCTGCAAATTTTCTGTACATTTGTTCAATGTTAAATTTCAGAGATGATTGCAATTTACGTAAACACACTGGACACACAAAAAGTGGTTGTTGGTCCATTTCTATTTCATTGTTTGCGCCATTCATTAGACATAGATAGTAGATGCAATGTTTTAGACCGAAAAGATGACCGATTTCATGAAGAAGAATTTTGATACAACGCCGAAGAATAATCGTACGATTAGCATTCGTTAATTCCACATTCATAGATTTATGTGGCGGCATGGGAAATAATGGATCGAGACGAGAAAATGAATAGACACCGTAACTATCTGCAGCTCGAGCTCTTCCATAAACAAAATTGTATGTTTCATCGGGATAAATATCGGCCATAGTCACAGCAACACATAACAATTCTTCATGTACATTACGTTGACTACGTGTATGAGCAAGATATTCAAACAGACCTTCTGTTTGATATTGAATTTGTTTCGTCCCACTGTTAATTCGATTTGGCATTGATTCAGTAAAATCAGCCATCGGCAAAATTTTGACATCGCATCCAAAAAAGAACGCTTGGGCAAATTCGCCAATCAATTCAAGAGGTGGAGCTCTATATGTATGAACATGTTTAGTCAGAAATTATTCGACAGATACTATTCATGCTCACCTTGGGTGTTCAAAACTACCGATTGGCTGAATATAGATTGTTTTGAACCTGTAATTATATAGAATGATTAATGTATGAAAAGTCAGATATTACGCTACTACCGATTTCAAAAAGAAAGAAAAAAGAGTATTTTCGTAATAATTGACAAACGGTGGTAGCCGGGGACGTGAAGTATTTACTCTTAAAAAGAGTAATAAAAACTCGACAGATATTATATTAGCTCCTTTAACTCAGTTAGTCAAGCATTTGTTAAAAAAGTTTTCAGTTCGATTCTATATTTAAAAATTACTATTAAAAGATAAAAGTTTCCTTTCAATCTGCGTTAGGCTAAACTCGCTAATTGTTTTGTTCGGAAAGTATAAGCATTTTTCAGAAAGCTTCGATTAGTATTTCTAGCAAAAACTTGTGGTACAGTGTAAACTTAAAGTGTATCTATACCTTTTCCCCGTTTTTCCAGCAAAAGAAAGAGGTAAATTTTTCCAAAACTTCAACGATTTTAACATTTTACTTTTGCTTTTAACACTTAATTTCATCATTAGAAACACTAATCCTGATTGTATCCATTTGATCGATTGGTGTCGTTTTTCTGCGAGTCAAAACCGTGCTGAAGTCGCAATATCGAGGTTCTTGAAAAATCCAAGTTCTGCCGCTGTGAGGCAAATAGAGGTAATCATTTTGAAAATTTGATTACATTGGCTTTAGATAGCTTTGAATCCAAGAGTAACATCATTAATCGATCCGAACTAATCAAGTATTCCTATCTAAACTACTCGATGAAACACTTCAATTTTTGGAATGAAACAATCTAACGAGCTTAGCCTTACGCAGATTGAAAGGGAGCTATTTTGTCTGTCAAAGAGTAAGTTTTAAATATAGAAACGAACTGAAAAAGTTTTGACTGGACCAGTGACATAGCCAGAAATCTTCAAGTCATGGGCTGTTTCTCGGTTAAATTATTTTTGGGTGTGGAGAGCAATGGGCAATTAAAAATCAATTGGACTACAGTTTTCTAAACGTATTGCCATCACAAAAACCGATGTTATTGAAAAGAAGTTCGTTATTCTCAACTAAGAGGCGAGCCTCTTTGCTTTTATAAAACACGATTTGAAAGAAGTGTCGAAGTGTATAGTGGTAGTAATTTGGACTCTGCCGTCACCCCCCCCCCCGCCGACTGAGAGAAGATGGAGGGAGAGAAACGATTGATGATAGCTTGT